TAAAAATGCACTATCCTACTAAATTCACCATTTTGACTGTTTTAACTCAAAGAAGAATCAAAAGAAATTAGAAGGAAAACCTAAGAGGTTTCAGACAAGCTGTTTCTGTTTAAGGGACAGAAGTTTCAGCTCAAAATGCATCATAATTGTGATGTCATTGAGCAGAGTGAAAGCTGCAGGCAAACCTAACATGTTCATTTAATACTACTACTGTAGGCATATTTGAAACACTATAGCATCTTCAGACTATAATTATAACTGTTTGTTGTTACTGTGGTTTCAAAGATAATATAAGTTGTTCATAAAATTAACACAATGCTGATGTATCGCATACAAAATACCAACTCAGTGTCATGGGCAAAATATTCCATTATCTATTTTGCATGGGGAGAAACAGCTGAGAAACCTTCAGACCATCGAATTATGATTCAAGTGTTATCATTATCAGCAATTAGAGATGGAAACCCAGAGGTGCTAACCAAAATACTTAGCTATAATCAGGTAAGTCAGCTTCAACTTGCTTTGTTAGTCAGATCACAGGTGTTCAGTACCCACAGAATTTATTCACTCAGTCAATGATCGTCTTGGGTTGTACTGTGTCATTAGTATTCACTAACACAGTTGTAGTAAGAAGGAGGGGAAAACACCAACATGGGAGGGAAAATAAAAGATGAACCGTGGGGAAAAAAGAAGCTGTGTGTGTAATACATGCTTCTCCCATCCCCCTCCTCCTAGGATTCTAAGATAAACACTGGCATGTGGTGCCTTCTACAGATGGATCAACAGCAGCATGCTTACAGCTGTGCCTATCTGTCATCCAGGTGTTGCAGGCTGCATTTGCCAGCTTGCCAACAGGCAGTGAGACTTCTTTTAAGGGTATGGGAGGAGATCACCTACAGTTGTTTGACAGAAAGAGACAGAGTAGCCCCCACACTGTTAATTGATAGGTTTACTCATCTTCACCACCTTGCTGTTCGGCTTCACCCTCTGAGGTGCAAAGAGAGGCAGATGTGATATTTGGCAAGCTGTCAAGATTTATCTTTTTTAAGAAGTAAGACACATCACAGGCTGCATTAAGCAGGTCCTTCTGTCTGTAACAACACTGCCATCAGCACTGAACATGCCCTCTGCACATGCAGTGGCTGGTGGATGATTTAGGGAGCGAACAAGAGGGGCTTTCCCCCACATTCTACATGAGGAATAGGCTTCAAATCCTGTGCAATGTACATATTCTTTTTCAAATAATGAAACAAACTGCTTCTGGCTGAGTGTTCTTACCCTACTCAGGTTCTCTTACTACTCAACACAAAAGGTACAGTATCTGAGCACCATATGCTCAAACCTAGCCACAAGCACAAATACATTTAATATGGTAGGAATCTATTCCCAGTTTTGCTGATGGTACCATGTGGCTTTTATTGCATCATTAGTTATTTTGCACTGTCAAATATTTTCCCCTTCCAATTACTCCAGTTATCCCCTTGCTGCTCTAGGACAGGTTTGAAGTGGCACACATCCAAGTTGGGAAACATAAGATTAGAAGGGTGGTGGTTGTTGGCACCCAATTGAATCTTATTGTTTGTGTAGCTAAACCTTTTTCATCTATGTGACATGGTCACCTGAGAAGCTAGTGGTGATATTGTCTTGTGAGGCTTGGGTCTCCTGCACTTCTTGTTGGAAAACAGTGAAGATGAAACCAGACAGTGCTGAAGTTCCAACTAGTGAATGTCACTGTGACTTCAGCATTGTATCCTTTTATGTCAAATTCATTTTGAATGTTTTCGAACAGGAAGTGCTGGTTAAGTACTGACAGCACAAGACTGGCAATATCACTACTAACTTCTCAAGTAACTGTTTTAAATAGGCAAAGGAGGTTTAAATAGTAGGTGACAGTGGGCATACCCTCTGTTCTTCCACATGCATGGAAGCATGGCTTTTTGTTTTTCTAGAAATGAGTTGGAACTTTCTGCACGAGCAGATGTTTTGGAAAGTAGTCTTCTTCTTGGAGCCAATACAGAATATTTCTGGCCTAGACAAAATGGGCAGCAGGTCCACAGATCTTGCATTCTGCTCCTAACATATTTTCAGTAAGTCATTCAGAAGCAAGAGAGGCCAGGCTGGGTTCAGCCATGGTAACACTGTTTTATTATACTTGAAAACACAGAACATGTTTGGCATCACTGTTGTGTAGAGGCCTGATTCTGCAGTCTAGCTCTTGAGCAGTTATTTAGAATGGTACTGCTTAACACTCACTTTGCAGGTTACTAATTGTAACCTACACCAGGTACAAGGAAGGGGAGAATCAGACCCTCTGAACAGAAGAAAAGGAACATTTTATGCTGGAACTAAAACTCCCATAGCAAATTGACTGCAGTATAATCTTTTTCAAAACCCTTTAATTCAGAGTGCTACTTGTTTCCTGATGACACTTAGCTTGGAGCTGGGCAAGGCAAAGCTGGCAGACTGGAAGATTGCCTAATGTGCTGTGACTGACATGTAATCGAATACTTAACCACTGGTCCACACGTCTGTGGTGAAGCGAGTATGACATCTCTCTGCATAGTTGTGATCGCGCCTCACTCTTCTGTAAACAGTTTCATAAAGGTGCAGTATAGCTTTTTATGAGAATTATGTGAGAGAGAAGATGAGTCACTGAGGTCACCTGCTGACAAGAGCTTTATAGGAACTTGCTAGAAACTAACCTTTAAATGCCAACATTACTCTACAGATGAGCTCCTTTCTGAATAGTTAACAGAATGAAAACATTATTATGGCTTGTTGTACACTTTCTTTTCACAGCCACCATTGCATTCAGTGAAATGGACAAGCCACTTGATGGCTCTTTCTTTTATGTTTCATAATCCTTTTGTATTGGTGAGCACTAGAAAACCATTTGAAGAGTGGGAAACTTCCAGGGAGAGAATTCAGCTCTTCTGTTCAGGCCTCAGAGAAAACATTGATTCTCCTTTCCCTTTACCACACCCTCTTAGCTACCCAAACACTTTGTTTCTGAGTTCTTTCCCAAACCAGCAAGCATTTCCTTTTAAAATAGCATTTGAGCGGTGACATCCTGCAGGCACCAGCTCTTGCCTCGTGTGGCAGCTGATGCAACTGGACAATATTTTGGTAACAGTTAAATAAAGCTGCCATGTCATACCTGGAGGTTTAGAGAAAGTGTTTCATTGCTTGACAGTGGTTCAGATTTAAACATGATTGAACAGTTTACGGTGACGATAGAGGGGTGTTCTCCTCCCTTCTTTTGGTGTTTGGATGATAGCATCTGAAATAAATGTCCCGGTCAACAGAAATTACTTAGATTTCTCAGTTGTATGCTGCTCTCTTTCCCCTCTTCTGGCAGGCTGAGAAAAATCTCACACTTTTTCTTCTTGATTAAGAGCAAGTATCAGAATCTTCACCCTTCTCTGCAGATACTTTTGGTAGTTAACAGGGCTGTAATTAGACTACTGAAACATGGGTATGTAAAAGCCTGAGACCTGTGAAGGAGATAGTTTTAGTGCTCTAAGTGTCAGATTTGAAATACCTAGAGTCCCTGGAACTACCAGGGTTGATTCATCTACTCATCCTGCAAGGCAGCTAAATTATGCTTCATGGAGTTCACAATGTCTCTTTTAAAAATACTTTCTTTCTATCCCTGAAATTGGTCTTCAGTTTTCACTTGCTCTTATCGTTAATAGAAAAACTAGAAACAATGCTGGTTACCTGGTAACCTTTACCAATAGCTGCTGAATATCCACTGTTTCAGGGATGGGGAATCTTTTTGGACCCTGGGGGCTGCTGACCCACCAAAAAATCAGTCAGGAGCTCCTGACCAAGGAGCAGAAAGACACTCCCCACATTCCTCTTGCACACCAGAGCGTAGGTGAACCCAGGTTAGTAGATTTTGCATGCTCCAGCCTGGCAGCGGGGAGTGGGGGGGGGGGGGCC